AGTAGCTAGTGCTGCTGCTGAGATGGCCGCCCATTGGAATGGAAAAGAAAGAAAGAAAAGAAAAGCACTGATGTCGAATGCCTGACGTGATTGGACAATTACTAGTTTACCATTACCATTTACCATCAGTAATGGTGGAAGACAGGTACCTTTGATGAGCTGATGTCGAGAGGACTTCGGAGCTCAGAGCTGAATTCGGGCTTGTGTGAGCTGTGTCCTAGCTAGTGTGATTTTAGTAAAGTTCATGTACCGTCGTAGTAAGCCTAGTAGGCTAGTACACTGGGCTGCCTGCTAGTATTTGTCGCGAAAAAGACCAACGTCTTTTACATCATCAAATCGACGGATTCGTATCGCTAGGCGAATGGCAAGCATATATAGGCGTCCAAAAGGCATGTCGCGATGTATTAGACTTGTGGCGAAACTATTTTGTGATTCTGCTTTTCAGTTTTCAAATATATTTGTTCAAAATAGTAATTTTAAAAAAGCACCACCACAACAGAAAATAAAGCAAATTAGTGACGACTCAAGAATAAAGATGTAAGTGACGAGGAAGCGAAACATCTATAAATTTACGTTTGTGATGACCAACCTGTGAGTAACTATGATATTTTGTAAATCAAGAAGAAATTATGAAATATACACATAAATTGCTCTCGATGAGGACTTTTACCCAGTACGGTACATCACTGTTCCGCACCCTCGACGCTCATCTTCCTAGCTTTCAAATATTTTCTTTGGACTTGGACTTGAATAATACGTCCATATCTGTTTTGTCCACTAATAACGTTGTAAACTCTGAAACCTTACTGCTGAACATGTACAGACTGAACTGGGAATATATATATATATATATATATATATATATATATATATATATATATATATATATATATATATATATATATATATATGCATGGGAAGTTGAGGAACCCTGACCTGCTAAATGATTTAATATCCTAAAAATATCTCCTCTCTTCTGTAGACAGGAAGGTAAATGAAATCTACTGAATAATATACTATTTCTCCCTATAGTATATATATATGTAGATATAAAATAACTGGGATACCCGACCTGCATGTCCTCTCACTGTAGACAGGAAGGAAACATATATATATATATATATATATATATATATATATATATATATATATATATATATATATATATATATATATATATATATATAGAGAGAGAGAGAGAGAGAGAGAGAGAGAGAGAGAGAGAGAGAGAGAGTAGAAGATGCGTATTATTATCTGTGCGATTTGCCCATCCTTCGTTACAATAACACACTTTCGTAGCAGTAGCACGGAGCTATATAACCTAGTGGCGGCAGCCAATTTCTGTGGTTCCTAATTCCTAAACATGAAACATTGCGTACGAGTAATGCACAAAACAAGTCTGATTCCCAAAACCGCGATTTGCTATTCTGATGCCGACAGACCAATCAAGGAGGCCAGGACACATCTGGATATACCTTACCTAGCTTAAGAACACCCTACACCGGAGAGAACTGAGAAGAGAAACATGAGGGCATGAGGTGGTGGCGTGGTGCTACCACAGGATCGGCAGGGCAGAGCACGAGAGGGGGAATGGACGAGCCCCGAGCCCCCACTCGGAGTAACCGCCCTGCGCCTCGTCACGCGTCACCTGGTGGCCGATCGATCGATCATCCGATCCGGCGATGCCCGGCCCTTTCCCCTCCACGGTCTCCTGATTGCACGATTATGGAAGGGAGGAGGATGGGGGGCGAGTGATTTCTGGACCCAGGCTGCTTGCTCCGTCCAGATGCAGTGGAGTGGAGTGATTCCGCAGTTATGGCCGCGCGCGTCGGTCGCGCTTTTCGCAACTCGATCGGGACACATGCTTCGCGCAGGAATCTCCAAAGGGCAGTGAGGCAAGAAGCCTGCGTCGTCCATCCATGTTATTTCTCAAGGCGTCGCGTGGGCGAGGAGGCTCCTCGCTGTGCTTCCACCCGAGCTCTGCACACTTCAATTCTGTCGCATATTCTAGCCCATACATACAACAATGATAAAAGGCAAGGCGCACGTATGAGCTCGTGTGATCGTGCCATCTCTCCCCAAAAAAACAATAAATATGTATCATCAACTATATATATCCTTGCTTTTAATTTCTCCCTCATCTTCATTGTGGCACCTCAATGACCATTCTGGCTTCTAGCTAGCGCCGCTCATTCCTACACTGCTCAATGCTCGTACTATGTACCTCCTAGTTCCCACTCGCTCTACAGTCTACCCTGCCTATCTTCGCATAGTCGCTACTCGCTAGTAACTAGTAATGGTAAGCCCCTTGCGATGCTGTGTGCCGTCCATCTTCCTCCTCTATCTATCTAATCCTCCTCTAATAAAGCTGTAGAAAGTCAGCACACAAAACTTGCAAGCAAGTGCTTCGAGCACACTTATTACTATGTTTAGAAACCTTTCATGCGAAGAAAAATTAACCTGACAGCTACGCTAATTACCGAGCAATAGCCGGTAATTACTATACACATATGTCTTTTTTTTTTTGCTATTCTCATAGCTTGTTTGGATGTCCATATATTCAGCTCAATCTAGGAAGGTCAGAGTGGTTTGGCGTGAAATTTTTAGTTTAGATTCCACCAAACCACTTCAAGTCATATGGATTGAAGTGCATCATGGGTATGCAAACAAAGCCTTAAGAAAGAATTTGTTAGCACAATTTTGTACATTATACCTTTCTCTGAAAAATCTCTTAGCATAACCTTTCTAGAATTTTTTAACAATAACTCTTATCAGCATAACTTATGAACATATATTTTTTGCTAACTTATGCACATAACTGTCTTGAATAAGTTTTGTACTAGCTAACTTATTATTTATTTGAAAAAATTTGTACAAAAGGTAGTTGAACAAAATTTTGGAAGCAAGGAAAGAAGGTAAGAGCAAGACAGAAGAAAGTAGAAAAGAGAGAAGAAGAAAAAAAGGTGCTAAATTGCAGTGCTAGTTAAGGCTAATTAGGAATGGTGGCTAATTAGAGACACTGCCTGGATTTGGTCCCTGGCTACAGAATGGATGTGCGATCTCTATCTTGTTTTTTTTAATTAAAAAATCTATGGAACTTTGAAAAAAAAATGTATTATCTCCGGCCGGTAATAGTTGACGTTCTGAGGGTTTGTTTGATTGTATATACGTGTGGGAGAGGTGTCGGAGCCAGTGTCACCAGACGTGCAATTTCAGATGCTTTGTGGCGCCAGTGAGAGCATGATCCAAACACGCTCTGTTGGAAAAAAATTCCCATCTTTTAAATGCATCGTAAGTCATGTCCTCCAGTGTCCCATATAGAATAATTTCTACCGCATCATGTCTCATGTAGTAATTATATTAAAATGGCAATAAATATACTGAACAAAACAATATATGAATTTGAAGATTATCTATTTTTAGGAAAGTTTCTTAGACTTTATTATGCATGCATAAATCGATCATAGCCGTTCAGGTTCAAAGTGTGTTCGAGGCAAGTCCACCAACAATTCTAAACGACAACAAATCAGTTGGGATAGTATTTCGGTTTGTTTTTTCAGCGAAGTGAACGGACCAAACATGCCGTTAGAGTGCAAACACTCCACTGAGAAAACCATACTTTATTTGAACGTTAAACTCCTCTAGGATCACTTGAAATATATCCACAGTTTCCACCGAGGAAAATCCTGGATGCTTTTTTTCCCGCCGAACATTTATTTACCAAGGCAAATTTCTCACGAAAGCTAATGCATGTCCACCAACAATTCCCAGATAGCGCATGATGACCCCGGCCGTGAAGATTAGTGTCCTGTTTGTGGCTGATGAGTCATAGCTGAAAGTATCGTTGAATGATTTATTACGAGAGAAAAATATTATTTATTGATTGAAAAAATACGGCTTATAAGTGAATCAAACAGACTTTGACCTGTGGTACAGACAGTACGCCCGCCTAATAATTGGCAGAAGGCCGAGAAAACCCATCACCATTGCCGCGCCTCGCAGGGCTTCCGCATGCCCCGTCTCCGTCTCCCCCGCGTCGGCGTACCTGTGGTGTTTCACGATGATGATTCATCTTACTCTTCTATTCTATCTGCACATATAAAGCTTCTCCCCCTCCTGAGCTCGCCTCGCACGCCGAGTTCTTCTAATAGATAGAGAAACTGAGTGCCAGGGAAGCAAGGCAGGCAGCACCGCAGCAACCACGCCTTCCTCCTCCTTCCTCTCGTGGATTCACAAGGCTTCCTTCAGTTCGGGGGTACACCACGGCCCTCCGTCGCTTTCTTCCTGGCTACTCGATCACCGCTTGTTCTTGGCCTTCTGATTTCGAGGTGTTTGTGAGTTGTTGGCTCGAGAGAGAGAGGCGTCTGCTCTGCTCCATTGCTGGCACAAAGCATTCGCTTGATCCTCGTTCCCGCTCACCTTTTCCTGTCACTTGTTATTACTCCCTTTTTTTTTGGTTTATTTTTGCCGAAGGATTCACAGTAGAGTCGGTTTATTTATTGTTTTGTTGGGGTTCCCGATGCTGGGCTGGGCAGGCCTGTGTCAGAGCCATGTCTGCGTTGGGTCTCGAAAACTCTGGGCGTTCCCTTGCTTTTTCTTTCCTTCCTCTGCTCTGCTGTTTTACGCTGGCAGGGCAGGGCAGGGCACGCTTCTTCCTTGCTCCCCTGCTCCGCGTTCTGCGTGTTCATGGTGTGCCGCGTTAATGCTCTCACTTCCTTTTCTTTGCCTCTTCGAAGTATTTTCTTCGAAGAAATAATGCTCGCATCAATCCTCTATCTTTTCTCGTTATACAGCCGCTAGGGCGGTTGTGTTGGTTCCGTTGGCCTGCATGTTTTACATGACATTTCGCCCTGCGCTCTTCGTGTCGCAATTTTTTTCAGGTGCGAAGCGGCGCTTCGGCGGCGGCCAAGGCGGCGGCGATAGCGTCACTGGCTGCCTGCCTTCCTTCTCATCAGGAGAGGCAGAAAAGAGAAGCGTGAGCGGCGGCGCAACGAGCACCGATGGGCCCACTGGAGCCGCGCTACCGTCCAGCCGGCGTTCCGTAAGATCTCCTCCCCTCCTCCCTCGCTCTCCTATCGCAATCCCAACCAAAGCTGCTTCTTTTTCTTTCTTTCTTTCTTCTTCCACGCCGCACCGCGCCGCACCGGTGGGCGCCGCATGCCTCATTAGATCGATCCTTGTCGACCCGACCAGCCGGAGGAAGACGACGACGACAGCGAGCGCGGTGAGCCGGTGACACGTCGTTCCGTCTCTCCGCCCTCCTTAATTGCGGGCGCCGCAGTGGTTGGTGGTTACGCCTCGCTCGTTGCATCCTCATCGCATTAACCGCAAGAAATCTCCCCCGTGCTCGCTCGCATCCAATCCTCCATTGATTGCTGATTAGTAGCACTCAATATTCCCGTGATGGCGTGATCATTAGCAGCCTACTTAGTTCGCCTGGTGGTGGTCTCCTTCTGTCCTCCGCATAGTGAGTGAGTACTGACCATTGTTGACCCCGCCGTCCCTGTCCTGTGGAACGCTATCTCACCTTCCTCACCAAGCCATCGAATTCCATTCACGGACGGGTCCGTCTCCACTGGATCGTGCTCTCATTTTCGCCGCTCGCCTTAACCTGGTCGGCCGTCAGTCCTCTCCTCTGATCTGAGGTGAGGCTGACTTGTGTGGCACTGGGACTTCGGGGTTTGGCAGTGGGCATACATACGGCCACGCGTGACGTGCACAAGACGTGGTCTTGCCGTGTGCACCCTACGGATGATTTCAGCATGCTTGGATCATCCAGTTATCTGCACGGTAGCGGTAGTGCTAGACTTCTAGCAGCAGCAGTTACTCTGAACTTTTCTCGTTTCGTGATCACAACGGTATCGAACAGCTAATCATGCTTCTGATTTTGGAGAATCGGTCCAGGGGGAGTTAGGTACAAAGCCACCTTTGTGATTTAGTGATATGTTCTGATGCTTTGTGTTCCTTAAAATCGTGGCTGATGAAATGGAGCGTCAGGGTTGTGGAATACAAGTCCATGCGATTTTTCTTCTCTGAATTTTCCTCGGTGCTTAGAAACTTTTAGCTCCTTTACACTTCCTACTTTGATTGGCAAACATCTTTTGGTGTGGCTCACTCTCACATCCAACTATCGGATATACTGCATTTCCTCTTTTTAAAAGGGTGTGCTTTGAAGGGCGGGCCTGGTGCAAGTGGTAGAGTCTTACCGCCTGTGACCGGAAGGTCCCGGGTTCGAGTTGCGGTCTTCTCGCATTGCATAGGCGAGGGTAAAGCTTGCCACTGACACCCTTCCTCAGACCCCGCACAGAGCGGGAGCTCCCTGCACTGGGTACGCCCTTTAAAAGGGTGTGCTTTGGGTGCTTTCATTTGTCATTATTATGTATTTCTGCCCATAAAGTGGTTGTGCCTATCAGCATTCCACTTATTTGGACTCAAGGCAAACTCAAAGGATGATATCATAGCACTTCCTATACCCGCTATCCTGTTGTACATGAAAATGTTATCTAGTCTATCTTCTGACCTAATCATGAGGGGAAACTAGGACCTAAATGTGTTGCTCTTTACTAGTTGCAGATGTTGCATTCAATATTTTTTGCAGTTGCTTTTAGCAAGAACTTTATGAAAAATTTTGATTACAAAAATTTCCTTTTGCGCTGCTGAACTTTTTAGTAAAAGCATAAGTGCTTCCTAAATGAAGTCTATCTAATTATCCTATACAAATTAGATTATCAACCCATTTTACCTTGCCTATACATATTGGTTTTCGCTTTCAACTTTCAAGTGATCATGCTTTTACCTCTCTGTGATTATAAGGCGAATCAAAGTGAAAAGGAAGAAAATGACATATACCTTTGTGCTCAAGAAGGAACTTCAGAATCTATCTTGTCATCTTGTGGAATCAGTGTCTAGTATCTATTTCCATTGGCATTGCCTCTTTTGAATTCCTTTCTGAACTCCACGTGTCTGGTAGTTTGATGGCTGATCTTATCTGGTAAAGTAGTTATTGTTTTGCATGACTAAGTTTGCTTCTACCTTTTTGCAGTGTGGACACAACTAAGAGAAGGGCCTCCAAAAGCAATAGTTTCAAAGATGTCGAAAATTTTGAAGTTCTTGTCCTTGAAAAGAGCTGTGGTTGCAAGTTCAAATCTTTGAGGATCTTGATCGTAGCTATCATGTCTGCGACAGTTCTTACCCTTGTGACTCCAACCTTATATGAGCACCAATTGCAGTCAGCCTCCCGGTAAGCACGTCTTGTTGAAATATTTGTGATGTGGTAAAAAATGACGATGCCTCTAAAGCTATAACTATCGGCCCGTGTGAATTTATATGCTTTGCAGGTATGTGGATGTTGGTTGGATGTGGGACAAAACAAGTTCTGATCCACGATATGTATCTTCTGTTGATGTTCGGTGGGAGGATGTATATAAAGCACTGGGAAATCTAAGAAGTGGTAATCAATATCTCAAAGTTGGACTCTTGAATTTTAATAGCACTGAGTATGGCTCTTGGACACAATTGCTCTCAGACAGCCATGTTTCCATTATAAGACTTGAGCATGCCAAGGACAGCATTACTTGGCAAACACTGTATCCTGAATGGATCGATGAGGAGGAAGAAACAGAGATACCCTCTTGCCCATCACTTCCAGAACCTAATGTACGAAGAGGTGTACGCTTTGATGTCATTGCTGTAAAGCTTCCTTGTACCCGTGTGGCAGGTTGGTCAAGAGATGTTGCACGGCTCCATTTGCAGCTCTCAGCAGCAAAATTGACTGTGACATCTTCGAAGCGCAACCACAAGGTCCATGTTCTTTTTGTAACTCACTGCTTTCCAATTCCGAATCTCTTCCCTTGCAAGAACCTTGTGAGACATGAAGGCAATGCTTGGTTATATAGTCCTGACTCAAAAGCATTAAGGGAAAAGCTCAGGCTTCCAGTCGGATCCTGTGAGCTTGCTGTTCCGCTCAAAGCAAAATGTAAGTTGCATATTTACCAAGCGTCAGCACACTCCATACAGCAAAAAAAAAAAATGCTTTCTGTCTTGTACTTCATATGGTAGTACTTTTTATGGTAACATGCATGAAGTGTGTGCCTGTTTTTACACATTTGTCTGATCATAAGTATAAAATTCAGTAAATGACTCTATTCTTACTGCTGCAGCGAGACTTTTCTCAGTAGATCGACGAAGAGAAGCATATGCAACAATACTGCATTCAGCGAGTGAATATGTCTGCGGTGCTATTACAGCAGCTCAAAGCATTCGCCAAGCAGGATCAACCAGGGACCTAGTCATCCTTGTTGATGAGACCATAAGCGATCACCACCGGAGAGGCTTGGAAGCTGCAGGGTGGAAGGTCAGAATAATCCAAAGAATCAGGAACCCGAAAGCAGAGCGTGATGCATACAACGAGTGGAACTACAGCAAGTTCAGGCTGTGGCAGCTGACTGACTACGACAAGATCATCTTCATAGATGCCGACCTCCTCATCCTGAGGAATGTTGACTTCCTGTTCGCCATGCCAGAGATCACTGCAACTGGCAACAATGCGACGCTCTTCAACTCTGGTGTCATGGTCATAGAGCCTTCCAACTGCACATTCCAGCTGCTGATGGACCACATCTACGAGATAACTTCATACAATGGCGGGGACCAGGGATACCTGAATGAGATATTCACCTGGTGGCACCGCATCCCGAAGCACATGAACTTTCTGAAGCACTTCTGGGAGGGCGACAGCGAGGCCATGAAGGCGAAGAAGACTCAGCTATTTGGCGCAGACCCACCAATCCTCTATGTTCTCCACTACCTTGGCCTGAAGCCATGGCTGTGCTTCAAAGACTATGACTGCAACTGGAACAACGCTGGAATGCGCGAATTTGCAAGCGATGTTGCACATGCCCGGTGGTGGAAGGTGCATGACAAGATGCCCCGGAAGCTCCAGTCCTACTGCCTGCTGAGGTCACGGCAGAAGGCCAGCCTGGAGTGGGACCGGAGGCAGGCCGAGAAGGCCAATTCTGAAGATGGCCATTGGCGCCGCAACATCACGGACACCAGGCTGAAGACATGCTTTGAGAAGTTCTGCTTCTGGGAGAGCATGCTCTGGCATTGGGGCGAGAACAATAACAGGACGAAGAGCATCCCCATGGCAGTGAAGACGGCGAGCTTGGCAAGCTCATGATCTGTAGATATACAAACACCTGATATTGCAACCATACATGCATAGCAATAGCTTGTATAGGTAGCTATGCTTAGTTCTTTGCTATACAGAATATACCACTCCCTGTTGCTGTCAAGGCTGCAGCTCTATGTGGCTGCCGGCCTGCCTCGATGGCTAACAATTCTTTTGGGTTGGCTGCTGAAATAAGTTTCAGGTATATGTAAAGTTCTCTGCTGAAATTATGTGAGCGTGTGTGAGAAATGAATTTGTACAGGGCGCCGATTAAAACAATTGGTTAGTGCATGGAACATATGACTAGTTTTACAGTGTATGCCGATAGACTTGTATAGCACAACGCATACCGACAGTACAGAAGCAAAACGATGCAATGTGGAGACGGTGCTAGACATTCAAAACTTGCCAATCCAATTGAGAGAGGGCACTTTATGACAATGTATCAAGTACATGTTTGTACATATAGGTTACAATACAACCTCGATTTGTAACAGCATATAAAATGAACCTTTAGTAAATAGAGCTGACAGAACGACTGTCAAGGCTTTCTAATCCTAACCAACCAGAAGAATTAAAGAAGTGATGTAAAATCTACAACCTTGCGATGCATGATTCACCGTGTATACAAGTCAAAAAGAAGAAAAGAATGTAGAAGTCCAGTGAACCACCTAGCAGATGCAGCTGCCTTGTCCCGGACGTATGTGATTTCTCTAGTGTCAAATATCACAATACAAAAAGTTGGCGTAGATTGAGCATGCGGCCATAAAATTCAGCCCGCCATGTTTCACCAACCTGTGCAATTCAGATGGGAAAAATGGGTTCAGGTGACCATCCAAATACAATGAAAACAGGTTAACCTTAATCTTAATGACAAACTTGTTCATAACAACTAAAGCCACACCAAATACTAACAGATAGGTATAAAACTATATCTAGCTAGCGGCACACACATATGAAGAATAATAGATAGTAAGGTAATATACAATGGAGTGGCAATTTTGGAAGATAACTTGAGGCCTCCCAAGGTAGCATGAGTAAATAGCTGCTTGATCTTTCCAGATGACTGTTATACTAAAAGTTGTCAGGGGTCAACTAACATAGCCTAAATTAACTTCTCAGTGCAGCTTTGAATGCCACTTCAAGTAACATTGAATATCACTATTTCTGATGGGAAAATCTCACTATTCATGCTATGCATGACATTCCATGGGTATGTTAGTCCTGGAAATTCATAACTGCAGTGGAACAACATAATACCTTGCAAGAAAGCAAAATTTTAATCCTATGTGAAAATTTTGTCTAATTGATAATAGATTACCCACAGGATTCACAGAAATGAAGATATACATTAGCATAACTAAGAACTCACCATTTGTCAAAAGGTACGAAAACACGAGTTCATTCCAAGCATCGGGGGCTCCAGGAAGACACCAGTGGCTGCAATCAGGTATAGTCGGAGGATAACTCCAAGTGCCAACATGTGCATCACTTCGATATGCTCCCATTAAAGTTACATTTAGTACTGTGATAGGAACTTTCATGTTGGTTACAACATCAGCAAGTATAGCCCCAAATTCACTCTTATCATTTCCTTTGGCCTCTGATGAAGGATGCTCTGTTACCTCACACACCTTTTCTCTTGTGTCCCTATGAAATGGGAAGAGAGCTCTTGTCAGCTCTTACAGGATAGCTACAGCAGGGCAAATGAAGAAAGATAATTTGATACTGCAAAATTTCTTGCAACATTGACATTCTTTTGTCGTATGGTCATGTCAGTTAGACGATATCATATTTTTCAGGAACAGAAAACAAGAGTATTTGTATGGAGAAACAATGAAAATATCAAATGAAGAGGTGCAGTGAGATAAAGTTTCCATATTAACTAGATGTAGTACAAGTACAATCACAGTTTGACCTTGTAAAGAGTAAGAAGATTAAGCAGTTTATTTACATGAAGAAGTTTACAAATCATGTACAAATCATGAGTCATGAACCAGAATGTGGAGGCATATAAATACATTATGGGTTGGTGCCTTGGTGGAGCTAGAACAATTAGATCTATATTCACATCGCACATGCATTGCCAGCATTGGACTGCTTATAGATGTTACATGCAGTCAAAATGGACAGGGATCTCGACCATTTTTTTTCTAAAAGATATCACTATAATTAAATGGATATCCTAATTAAATTGGTCCAACTATCTAGCGCCATTATCAATATACTTCGATTTAAGTAAAAGCATATCAGTATATCATCTAATAGGGCTGAAAATTTTATCAAGGTATGTGGATGATGGCAATCTTTAAGAATCTAACCTTTACATGTTTTTTTCCCATGAGATTCAAATACCTGACAACCATAATAATCTTTCAGAGTCTGAATTAGTGAATTTGTTATAAAACTTACCCCCAATGAGATGGCTCATATGTGCGAAAGAAGACATGTGTTCGGTTTAAATCAACTCTTTTTTGTACCCATGAGGCCCAGGTCTCCAGTGCCATCCTGAAACCAGCATCGATGGATGTACCTAATTTAAGAGAACGTCCGGCCTGAAAATAGCAACCCCTGTTGAAGACCAGGTAATAAGAAAACCTATTAAACTTGTGTTTCGGTTACATTAGTACTAGCACACCACTTAGATGCAGAGAATACGAAGGTAAAAAGGTTATGTTAAAAGCAACACAGTGATTGTATGAGACAGTGATACAGTGATGTTGGTTAAAAGCAACACAGTGACGCTATGTTAAAATCTGAAGACGGCAAAAATGATACGAACACAGTATTCCCTGGAAACAAATGGAAAAGATGTTGAATGGAAAGTGCATATCATCCGGCAGATAAAATCGCCAAGTAGGCAATTTTAACATTGACATTTCAAGAATGTGATCATGTAAGACTCACTGTACCTATTGGTAGGTCAGATGAAGGGTCATCAAAAGCAAACATGATTCATTACATATCACATACTCTCTTCATACTAAAAAATAAAGTCGTTTTGGACAGTGACACGGTCTCCAAAGTATTACTTTGACGCCTTGTTTTTATAAAAATATTTATCAAAAAGTGATATATGTATATTTTTATGAAAGTATTTTTCAAGACAAATCTATTTATATGGCTTTCACATTTTCAAACTCAACAACATAAAAGTTATTCATTATTTATATTCCCAATGTTTAACCCAAGCCTTGTCCAAAACGACTTTATTTTTAAGTACGGAGGGAGTATGATTTACAGGCACTTGCATTTTTCCTCTGATAGCCCCCCCCCCCCCCCCCCCCCCCACCCCACCCCACACACACACACACCCCACTCCCCACCCCTAAGTTTCTGCTACATTATTGGTACCTATGTGAAATAGAGAGATGCGTCACTCCTCAATATTCAAAATGTATCAAACTGTATCTCTAACTAGAATATGAGCTAGGATAATATTTCTAAAATAAGGCACAGTATTAAAAATACTGGGCAGCAGCCAAAACATCGTAGTGTTTCCTCATCCTCTTTACTTAAAAAAACACACTACATATTCCTCCACTGTTTTTTTTTTCTGAAAAAAGAAGAAGAAATACATCACTACCTATTCAACCATGAATATAAGAATGATTTGCCCGAAAAAAGAAAAAAAAAACTGTGAATGGCAAAGCGGACATTGGCAGTACTGAAACTACTACACATTTTCAAGCTAGAACTAAATGGCACAGTAAATCAATGAGGGAACCTTACGTATTAAACAATTTGGTGGGCGTCCACCATTGCCCAGTGTTGAAAATCAGTACGTCCGAATTCACCCATTTCCAGCTGAAATTATCCATCATGTCCAGCCTCAATGTGGATTTGACCCTCTTGGGGGCATGCCGCGGGGCAGGATGCTTCTGCACGAGGAACACGGACCGGAAGAACTCCACGGTGAGGCCGTGAGACGCGAACCTGACCGCCAGGTGCCGTATCGTCTTGGTGATCTTGTTCCCGTTCACCTCAAAGACAGTCCTGGGGTCATCCACGCCGGCCATGAGCATGCAGATGAAGGATTCCCACTGCGTGCGGCTCATGGAATCCCCCACGAACATCACCCGCTTCCCGCGCAGCCGCTCCAGCGCGGTGCGGGCCGCAAACCGCGGCACGTCGCACCGGCGCGGCTTCCACCGCCACTTGAGGTAGCCAGTGTCGTTCCGCCCGTTGGCGAGGCAGTTGAACCCGCGCTCCGCGAACGGGCACTCGGAGCTATTGTAGAGCGGGTGTCGGCCGGTGTCGTCGGGCACCCAGGCGCCGTCGAACACGTCGCACGGCTCGCCGCCAAGGCCCAGGCCCAAACCGGCGTCCCCGACGAAGCCCGCGGCCGCGAAGGCGCGACCTTCCCGGCCGACGTAGCGGAACACGCAGAGGTAGAGCGCGCAGGCGAGCACGAGCGCCGCGCAGGCCAGAAGGAACGCGCGGGCCGCGCGCTCCAGCGTCGACGCACCCGGGGGCGGCCACCGCCACCTGCGCCGGAGCGCCGCGAAAGCGGTCGAGGCAGAAGAGACGCGCGGGCTCCCGGGCGCGGCGACGCCGCCCCGGCTACTTCCCGGGGTCACCATCACGCTACAGCCGCCGGCGCCACCGCCAGATCAGTACTGAGCGGATGCCGCCTGCTCAAAGTGGCCCCGCTGAGACTACCCGGCGCTAGAATCCCCGGGCGAGAGACAGCTCGCCGCGTGGCGTCGGCGCGGTCTGGTGTTGTGCTTCCGAGGCCCCGGCGGTCCGGCCCGTGAGCTCGCGTGATGGCGTAGCTGGTGGAGGCGCGGCACGGCGAGGGGGAGGCGGTTGTGGAGTACTTATAGCAGGGGTGTGTCTGGTTGGAGGGAAGGGTCCATGGATATGGCCGTACATACATTTCGAGGTATGTATATGCTTGTTAATTAGGTTGGATGGATGAAACGAGTTATTTTTTTTGTTTGATGGGATATATGAGAGTGGATGGGATGAGAATAGTTGACTAATTATATCTATTATTTAAAAATAATAATAACTAATTATACACTAATAAATATCTAATGACACTAATCTTGTTATTATAATCACTAATTAAAAATAAAATATGTTAATTAGCACTGTTACTACCCTAATTGTTACATAAAATATACATTAATCAACATATTAGCACTTATCAAAACATATCTTGTCATCATAATTATAAATTAATAGTATAATATATTAATAATTCTTAATTTATTTACTAATGATAATGATTATAATATATGGATAAGCTCATCGGCTAGTTTTTTGGTGGCCACTATATCCAGCATCTTGTAGGAATATTTATGTTGTGGATATCCATGTCCAGCTGATCCACCAAGGATGTTTTTGGTTGCTTGGATTGCATAGAATGGGATGGGATCATCCATGGATGAGGTATGTTTGGTTGGTGGATCACTGAGATAAGAAAATTTATGGATAGAAAATATTCCACCCAGATGCTGGATTTCGTGATTCCAAAAAATATGGCGGACCAGCTTAATATATTTTATTTTAAATTAGTGATTATCATGATAAAAATAGTATTCTAATTAGTTGTTATTGTTTTTAAATAATAAATATAATTAGTCAACTATTCTCATCCCATCCACTAACATCTATCCAACAAAAAACAAAAAATGGCTCATCCCATCCATCCAACCAGACGGGCATCATGGACATCCTTACCCTAATATCCATGGATCATCATATCCCATCCAACTCGGTCTTTGAACCAAACACACCCCAAACCAAACACCACCTATCCCAAACACAACCTGGTTCTAGATCGTCTGGTTGTTCACTTTGGCAGAGGGGTTGCGTTCACTGACATGTGGGTTCTCAAGTCCTAAGGACCCACATGGCAGTCCGTGGAGGACTGGTGGGGGAGCACGTTGGAGCGGGCCAACAGGCAATGGCTTCTGGAATTTGCCCATTTGGTGTTTTGATTTTATCCCTGCAGACTTTGTGCTACGGGAAGAATAGCTGAGGTCACCTAGGGCCTGATCAAAAATGGCTCGTACATTCCTAGGGCCTGATCGGTGGGCTGAACAAAAATGACTCGTACATTCCTAGGGCCTGATCGGTTGGCTGGACAAAAATGGCTCGTACTTCTATGTACGAAGAGGGCCTTGCCAAGATAAAACAGGCTGCGTTGATGCCACAGGTTTTGTTTGGTTTGATGTGCCTATGGGCGTCCCCAGCGGATCGGTGACTTGGCTAGCACTAAAAAGAATAAAAAAACTAAGAGCCTGAACGCAGCAGTGAACTGGCCCAGCATAGCAGTGACGGTAGATGTTTAGGAAACCGTGTGAGATAGGCGACGAAACAATCGCTAGGGACTTGTTTTCCAGCCTCTTTTCTCCACCACGTCGGATGCTTACAGTCAAATCGCTAGCTCAAATACTCTTGTTGGGGACGCCCTATGGAGCCAGGTTTGGGTGAGACCGGTGTTTGGTTAGGTTGTACTCACTCTTGCAAAAAAAAAAAGAACGTAACTACGTGTTGCGTATCAGCAAAAATAGTTTATGTTTGACCAAATTTCTAGTGAATAATATTCATATTTATAGTTTCAAAATAATTTATTATGAAAATATATTTCATAATTAATCTAATAATATTTATTTGATATCATAAACATTGATACTTTTTTATTTACTAGTGAAAATGCATGTGTGGTACGCACGTGTGTATGGTAAGACATCTTAATAGAGGAAAAAAGAACTACTTCAAATGATACAACAATTAAGAAATTATATGTACAACCGTGAATAGAATCAAATCCATAACAAGTTATAATATGAACGCTTGGCACTTTTTTTTTGCACCAAACAAGATTTTACACTTTCTTACAATGTTATCTGTTCCCTCTCGTTTATTTCTTAACTTCACAAGAAATGATTTATGCTAACATTAGCAGCCCCTGCCTGGGTTCCAAATGATCCTACCAACATGGATCAAATATAGCGTGTACAAAACTTGAGAAGTGACACAACGAGACTAACAGGTTTCCCCTTAATCTGGATACATCAAGATCCGTCTTCAAATTGAATTTAAGATCAAGTCACAATGTCACCGACCCCATGTGTCTGTGTTTTCAGACCACCGACGAGTAAATTTGTATTTGCGCATCTGGCTCGGATGGTGTGTTCGGAGGACACAAGGGTTTATACTGGTTTGGGCAAAACGTCCCTACGTCCAGTTTGCTGCTGCTCGTGTTACCGACACTTTGGTTTGCAGTAGCGGTTACAAACAGGCGAGAGAGGGAGAGGATCCCAAGTCTCTAGTGGAAGGGGTGAACGGGTGCTGAGAGCTCGCTTGCTGCTCAGCTGTGTGCTCATGTCGTGTTCTTGTATTTTGATTTCGTCCCCTTTCATGAGGCGTCCTACTTCCTCTTTTATAGGCGAAGGGAAAATGCGGGTTACAGCGGAGGAAATGGAGAAGAACGAGAGAGAGAAGAAGGCTTCTAGGGTCGTCGGGTCCTTCTTCTTCTTCATGCGGGTCCTGTCGATCCTATAGATGTCAACAGGGATGGCTCCACGTCGCGGCCCTATTCATCCCTAGCGCCATGCACAGGCGTCATCTGTCGGTCATGGCGTTCCACTCTGTCCCGGCAGACGTCGTGGTGAACTAACGCGCCTGTCAGCGTCCGTACGAGGGTTAGGCAGAACAGTACCGGCACGCCCGACACTGTTCTTGATGTGAATCCCTAGGTATGGCCCGTCATGGACACGGGTTACATCGAGGCGTGCCAGTCTCTTCCCTGGTGTCAGAGTTTTGACCCAGGCCCATATGCTTGGACCTGGAGTGGTTGGCGGCAGTATGGGTCCCCGTCGGACGAGACAGAAATCATGTCCTTAGGGTCGAGCGAGATGGAGGCCATACCCAAGGGGTCGGGCAAGACGGAGCCCGTGGCCTTGGGCGAGACGAAAACTATGTCCTTGGGGTCGGGCCAGACAAAGCCCGTACCCAAGAGGTCCGGCGAAATGGAGCCCGTGGCCTCGAGGTCGGGCAAGATGGAGCCCGCGGCCTCGAGGTCAGGCGAGACGGAGCCTGTGGCCTTGGGCGAGACAGAACCCGTGTCCTTGGGATCGGGTGAGATGGAGCCCGCACCCAAGGGGTCAGGCGAGACGGAGCCCGTGGCCTCGAGGTCGGGCGAGACGGATCCCGCGGCCTTGGGATCGGGCGAGACAGAGCCCGCGACCTTGGGGTCGGGCGAGACCTTTTAATACATCTTGATTCATCAGGGGAAGTCAGCATGGGCTCTAACTTCCTTGCTTTGGGTATCCCTAATATCGATACCCAACAGTAGCCCTGAGTCTGCGGAGGAGTAGAATACTCTTTTGGAGGCTTTTCCGGATGGGAGGACTCTGAGGGCCTTGGCCTTCTTTTTGTATCCCGCGGTGTGTCTTGGTCGGACGATGATTCCTTTTTGTCGTGATCGGTCTTCTTGGGAGCATGTAACCGTAGGATTCGGGAGGTCGGAAAGATTGTTCTTGATTCTAGTCCCCTAGGATCCGATCGGTCCACCATCATACTGCGACCACGCTTTCGGTCTTGTTGCAAGTCCAACTTCCCTCGAGCCCCCGCGCGTTGTAGGGGTCCGATCGAGGGGTCAGCTCGTCTTTGTGATCGTCATCCCTCAAGTGTTTCTTTCGATAAAAGGAGGGGCTGAGTCGTGCCACATTTTTTCTCGATGGACGAAACGTGGTGCTCGGTGAGCTATTAACGGGCTAGTCCAAGTGGGGCCTGGCTTCCCATTCGCGGGGTCCACCATGGGTCAGTTGGTGACCGACTCTAGATTCTCAGTGGCCAATCCATATAGTTCTCGAGTTCGTTCGACTAGTCCTGAGGGCTTGTTGCCTTTCTTCGAGGAAAAACCATGGACTGGGAACCGACCAAGACTCGAACGTGGGCCGGGATGCCCACGGTGCTCGTGTGCCCAGGTACTGGCCGCTAGTGGGCCCATCCCTTTCCACCCCTCACTCTAAGGGTGCCCCGGAGCGGCTGTGAACCCGTCGGAGGGCCAGCCTTCGAACACCTAAGCCTGAATGAGCCGTAGGAGCATTTGCAGCTCCGTATCCCACCTTACCTTGTGACGGTTCTCGCGCCTGTCTACACCGACGCCAAGCTAGACGATGTCAAGAAGGAGGTGGCCCCTCTAGCACAGGACTTACCTATGGAAATAGAGGAAGAGATAATCCCCCAAGAAATTAGTGAGGTAGATAAGCCAGGCGGTGAACTTGTAATAAGTGGACAAGCTCTTAAATTTCGTTATGGCCAAACAAATTTTTAGCTCTTCTCCCCTTTTTGTATAAAAAGGTTAATGTGTTCTGACCCTTTCCGTTGTTAAGGTTGTAAAGCTTGGGGTGCAGGCAAAAAACTCTGATCACGCTGGTGAGCAAAAACACCATTGCTGCTGGGGCGTAGGTTTCTTGCGGTCCGACCAGGTTTACTCAGCGTTCGTTTCCGCAACCCTTGCTTCTAGATCTTAACATGAGAAAGGGTCGGTGAAAGCTCTAGTTTGGTTTTCATGAATTGATGAAACCCTAAGTGCTTACCTAGTTTATCAAAGTGATTATGA